CCTCCCTCTTTCTCTCTCTCTGCATCTCCCCCGTCTCTTTCTTTTTCTCTCTCTCTTTCTCATGTTTTCTGCTTTATGTAATTTAGCATAAAATAAGTGCAAGCCCTTAGATGATTATATATGATCATTAGATTAGAATGAATTACCTATTTAGACTTCTAATAAAATCTCTTAATTCGAATTCAAGTAGGACTCTTAACAAACAATTTTACCCCATAAAATCCTAACTACATAAAGATAAGATTCTAGTATAAATATGTTAAAATACTAAATTTATCCAAACTTCATTTTATCAAATAATTCAATATATATCCAAAATAATATTAAAATTTAATTTCATACATTTTATGCCTCATAATATATTTTACGATTTTTATTTTTTTGGGTATTACAAATAAAGGATTAGAAATCTAGAAATAAAATGAAAACAGCCCATAGAAAGTTATATGGAAAATAATTATTTAATTAGAAAATCAAGAAGAAATAGTTTATCAAATATCTAGAGTAAAGATAACAAAAATTCTCGAGATACCCATAGAAATACAAATAAATAAGATGATAAAACAAAATTTGATAGCTTTAATAAACACAAGCTGCACATTTAATATAATTAGAAAAAAATTAGCCCCAAAAGATTGTAGGCAAAATTTTTATCATTTTTTACGAGGAACTGTCATAAAGAGACGAATATGAAAACATAATTCACAATATATATATTTTTTAAAAAATTGAAACAAAAAATTATGTAAATGATGCAACGAAAATAGTCAATTGAATGTTATTTTACGAAGGATAGATGAATGAGAAAGAAAAATATTAATTTCTTATATGAAAATAAATAGTAATTTAAATTTGCGAGAATAAAGAAGTTAAAAAATTGAGTGAATTGTCCAAATGATCACTGAATGTTATAAAAAATTTCTAAGGGGTCACTAAATTTTAAAAATCATTGAAATGATCACTGAATTTTGTAAAAAGTTTTTACAGGATCATTGAACTTTAAAAAATCATTGAACTTTGCAAAAAGTTTTCCAAGGATGAGTGATCCTTGGGAAATCTTTTACAAAATTCAGTTATCATTTAGGTGATTTTTAAAGTTCAATGATCTCGTAGAAACTTTTTGCAAAATTCAGTAATCATTTAAATAATTTTTAAAATTTAGTGACCCCTTAGAAATCTTTTACAAAAGTTCAGTAAGTATTTCGACAATTCACTCTAAAAGAATTTATGTAGAGTATTACATAATGTAATATAGGGGTGTGATTTGTTATTTTTTATTATAGATAATGGTTTTTTAATTAATTTAATGAAGCATTTTTAAGTTTTAGTAATTTTTTTTTGTTATCGTACTGTAAAATGTATTATTAAATTTAAAAAATACAGTATGTAAAGTGATAAAGCATC